TGAAGATATTAGACAAGGAGGCCTTAGCGAACGCGTAGTACATTAATAGTACGAGCGCTTTAAGGACGGAGATTTTAGTGTTGAAGTCCATCGAGGAGGTGACCAAATGAAGAAAATCCGAAGAACAAGAACGCATTTGTGCAATCAAGGAGGCTTCTCAAAAAAGTAGAGCTCAGAGTCCTATGGGGTCTGTCGGTCAAAACTGGCATATCATGTGTGAAGCGTTATAGAACTATAACTAAAATACTGAAAATATAGAAATTGAGTAAGAAGTGGGCTCTCTGTGAATTAACTCCAGGCCAGTTGGAAATGCGCGTGGTGTACTCCATGAGCAATTGGTGGAATTTTACTTAAGTAAAATATAAATAGGTATATATATGTTCGCGTAAACTTGACGAGCTATTTGTTGTAACGGGCATTAATTCAGGTGCTACTATGCTCTGCTTGTTCTTTCTAAAACAAAACAGCGAACTCGTTCTGGCAAAAGACAATTCTTGTTGGAAAGTTAGAAAATATCAACCATTCAATCTCTTCACGCTGGGCAAAGCCAATGAGACTGAAAACCTCGTTTTTTTTCACTCGAAATGGTGGTTCTGTTATTGCCAGTATTTGCGTGGCTATTGAAAAAGCTATCCGAGTACGATTTCTGTGCGGTAAATCGGAGGATCCTCATTAAGATTTGGCTTTGAAAAGCTCAAAAAGCCACTTCTGCAAAAAGTACAGTTCTGCTGTACAGTTGTAGTTCCGTAATCGGATTCATTAAGGCCAAGTTTTATCAAATAGGTCGATTAGATAATAATATTATTATATTGGCAATATTACGGAGCAGAAATTTCCTTGACAAAGGCCATACCGTTTTGGATTGTCTGGCTAAAGAAGTGAATCATTTCCTATTCTCAATCAATGTTCATAAACCCTAAATGAGATTATTGAACAAACCGCCAGGAGCTCTGATTCCAATAAACGTCACGTAACTTGAAAAGCAGTGTTTAGTTGTTAATATGAAACCAACGCTAGCAGTCTCTAGTGAAGTCGTACAAGTGTTTGCGCAATAGGAACAAACAGTAGCCTAATGCTATTTTATATTTATCATCCATGGTTACTTGATTAAAAATTGGCTATGTAGCGCCAGAGTAGATCATGGAAAAGTTAATTTGTCAAATACTGTATACATCTTCGTGTGTAATTTCTGATGTAATTTCTTCATTGTTCGATGATTATTATATGTAACAATAACTTGCCGTGACATGCTGTTTGGTATACATTCCTTCAAACTGTGTTAGTCTAGGTGAACAACGCAAAGTCGTTGTAACAGGTAACAGCCGTTGATAGCAACAGCAGGCACATAGCTATTGATTATTAGCTGTAAATATCTAACTGTTCTATGCCTTTTAGCAGAAATCTCGACCGCCTTTACGTATGCCCTTCAAACGCCTAGTCTCATTACTAAATCTACCAATAAACTGCGACCTGTACAGTGGCTGTACACTGGATCCAATGACGTTGGACAGGTCATTATGGGGAATAGACGACGGAAAATTCGTTTCTCATTTTCGCCTTTTTATTAACGACAAGAGCAGCTATCTTAATAATAACGATACTACGAACGAGTTTTATGCACTGGCCTAATTTAGTGCTGCTGCTAAAGCCAGCCGACGTTTGGTTATATAACTTGTTTTATTGATCTAATCGACTCATAATACGTAGCTTATTTTGTGTTGTCTCTCTTACTTGCTTTTTCACGCAGTACGAGTTAACTTCCATAAATTTTGACTGCTCCGTTCATATCAGCCTTTGCGAATTTTGTAGTGTCCCTTCCGTACCGTGCTGGTGCAAGAGGCCATTTGGCGGCCGAGGCCATGACTCGCGAAAACGAGCAGCCAGACACTAATCCAGCCATGTTGGCCTGGTTGGCTGGCTGCAGTGATGGCTGTTGAAGTTGTTGCCGCTGCTGCTGAGACTGCTGGGGCTTGTGCAGCTAGGGCTATGGTAGTCTCGCCATCTTCGGCGAAGGCAGGGGTCCCGGATGTGGCTGTGAGTAGGCCCGAGTGCCTGGTGTCTTTTCCTCCCTCTGCTATTCTTTTTCGCTCTCGCGGTGTTCGTCTGTCCGCTGATGTCGCCGCCGTCTGCTCTTGACTCTGCGCGATAGTGTATGCGTGTTCTATGTGCCTTCGCGTGCTGCTAGCTAAAGATGCCTGCCGGTGTAGCCATCCTGGGCCACAGGGATCCGAGAGGCGAACTGGGACGCAGCAGCGCCGGTGGTGGCGAAGCTGAGAGGAGTGTATTGACCAAGCAACATAGGGCACTAAACTCAGTCCTAACTCTTATGTTGTACTCTGGTGACTGCTACTGCTACCACTTGGTTTATTCGCTTCCGTTTCGTTGCCTTCTTTTTCTTCTTCTAATCTTCTCTGCATCTCTCTCTCTCTCTAGCTTTTTCTCGGTTGTTTTGGGTCGTCCCTTGGCCGTCGTTGGGTTCTGCACCTCTTGCCTGCCTCGACTCGCGATGAGACGATGGTTGTGAAAGAAGCGCTTGAGAATGGTGGTATATACAATAGTACTGCTAGCAGCAGCAATAGCAGTAGTTAGGGGGTGCTAGAGAAGGCAGCCGCCGGTTGCAGAAGCGACCGCATGGCGGGTCTATGAGAAGCAGACGACGATCACGACGACCACGACGACAACAACGACGACGACGAGGATGAAGACGGCTACTACTACGCTGATGGTCGTGGTCGTGGTAGCGGTAGCACTGGCTGCGTAGCAGCAGATGGAAATTGTTTAGTGGCAGCGGCGCGAAGGGAGTTGGGTGGCCGGAGGAAAGGCGCGGGGGGAGAAAGGACGCGTGGGAAAAGCGAGGGCGAGCGCGGGGCAATAACGTTGCTCCCGACTCACTTTTCCCTTTTGTCCCGATGCAAGGGGAATGGAGTAAAGAACGGAGGGAAGGGGGCGGGAAGAGACGCGGTCAACAGGGGAGGAGATGGTGGCTAGCGGCTGCTGCTGTTACTACTACGAAAGACGACGGAGAAACGACTCCCTCTCGTTTCGCTTCTCGACCATCCATTGCTTCCTTTAGTAGTAGGCGCTGGTACTGCTGGCGCAACCTCGAGTTCGTGCTCCCCCTTCCTCTTCTAACTGCTGTGCTCCCACCTAAGACTGCTCTGCAAGCCACTGCCTTCGAACTGCTGCTGCGAGCCGCTGCCTTCATGGAAAGCTGGGGCTAGGCGAAGTGGCTAGCAGTGGGTGATAGGGAAGGACCGGGAGCGGAGGTTAGGAAATGGTTTGGGTTGGAGCAGGAAAAAGGGGGCGAACGAGTGCGAGGGTGAAGGAACGATGAGGGGACCCTCGAACGTCGTCGTCGTCGCCGCCTTGCAGTTGGCAGGTGGTTCGCTGCTGCTTGCTTGGCTGACTGGCTAGCTTCGTTTTGCCTGCTTCTGCTGCTGCTCCATTGCCCCTGGTGCTACGCAGAGCCACTGTACCGCTTCCGCTGCCGCACCACTGCTATCCCTGCCTGCCTGCGAACCCCTGCCTCACATATTCGACCAGGCAAGCAGACAGTGCGGAGGCAGTGGCAAACAGGCAGACAACTCCCTCAACACACATACACACCTCCACAATCATACACCACGAAGTATACACACGTCCTAAAACACATACACACAAATCGATTCTGAGAGAAGGATATACTTCGTGCACCCTCTTAGAGAAGTACACACATATATACAGGTATTCTTACGCACGACGAACGGGAACATCGATGCAAGCGCACCCAGACGCGCGGGGCATGCAGACCCAGGCAGTCATCTTAAGCAACAGCAGTGGCGGTACCCCTGGCAGGGGCGCCGGCGGTGGTCGGTCCGCGTGTCCGTCTGCCCGTCTGCCAGCCCCCGTCGCGAGTCAGCCCGTTTCGACGGTTTCGAAAGACGGCAGTAGCAGAGGGTGGCGGTAGAAGCGGAGGCATCGGTGAGCGGTTGACGCAAGGTTGGTCTCGGCTACGGAGGAGTTATGTGGCGAATTTTGGGTTTAGGTGCGAGGATCAACTTTATGGTAAAAATGCTAGAGTAAGGAAAATGGGCTAGATGGGTAACGCTGGGCTAGGTGGGATAACGCGGATTCTCGATTCTGGCTTCAATGACTCTTCGTCCTCCAGTTTTAGCTTTATTCCTGCCTTGTAGCTCTCGCAGCTGTTCCAGAACGCCCACATCCTGGCCTAAGTCGCCGCTGTCGTGGTCTTCATCCTACTCATCGTTGGAGTGAGCTCGCTAACAGTGACGTGCTAGGTCTTGCCAGTTCTTACCAACCCTTATTCTCTGTACACTAAGGTGTAAAGAGGGGTCGGAAAGTTACGAGGGGGTAGCAAGGGAATGGGAGCTGAAGTAAGGGAAATATAGGTCAGACCGGTGTTAAGGGAAGACCCTGACAGTAGTAACGCTGGCGGAACCTTCTACCAGATCGGCTCCTTTGACTTCCCCACTTCGCTACCTGGTTCGCTGCCCGGAGTCCCTTCGCTGAGATGGATGCTTATCCTCGTTCTACATTCTCTCGTAGTCTTGCTCTGTGTTTCTGAGACCCCGTTGACATTTTCAAAGTAAATCGTTTTGAACGGAATAATAAAGGTGTTTTCGTCGGTTTTGAATTTCCCTATGTTACTGGTTTCCATCTGCGTCTGATGATTGAGCATTCGCTCATAAATATATCATATATGGAAGATCCGTTGACGTAAGATTGAGTCGACATCCAGGCACAAGGCGTATTTCCCACGTTCTTCAGCTTCGTGCTTCCCTTCAGTATTTGTTTTACATACACATGTTTTGTCTGAGACTGTAGAAGACGTATTTGTATTTCATAGATAATATCATATTAATCTAAAAACTTTCGGTTAAAATGTTTTACTCCGGAAAACGTTAGTCATTAATAAAAATGAATGTATTAACTAAAGCGCTGATATCTTCTTGTAGAAAAAATCAGAACTTGATAAAATTGATTTCACGTTGTTTTTGCAGATACGGGGGGTCAGGTTCGAAGTCTCCAGTTCCTGTAGTATATATGGGGAGCAGCGGAAGCAACGACTCATTGCTGATGGCTCCACCCATGGGCGGTGGAGCTCCGCGGTGTACGGCACGGGCCGCGCAGACGGATTTGTCACGAGAAGAGATCGCATCACTGGAGTCAAAAAGTAACCACGATCTCGAACAGCGTGACCTGAAAATCGATGAACTTCAAAGAGGCTCGGACGAACTGCGGAGACAGATCTCGTCACAACAAAAGGTGGGAGAACTGTGCGTGCTACTATATTATAAGCACAGGCTAATTTTAGAAAATCTGATTGAGAAAAGTAAGTCATGTACTTTATGTTGTTATCTCATCAAACGCGTTCTTCTAAGATACCCAATGAAACTCTGTAGGAAAAAGCTAATAAACCTCGATTTTTACACGAAAATTACACGTGCAATTAGTAGCAATCTATTTACATGTCATATGCTTCTCAATAGTTGTATTGTGCCAGAAGCAATTGAATTTCCAGTGTTGTGTTTCCGATAATTTGCATCCATTTTGTTAAGGCTACAACATACCTAGGCATGCCTATTTGTTGTTAAATGGTGCATCTCGGGTGTACTCTAAGGTAAAATATCGTTACAAATAATATAATATGAATAATATATGAACCTACAACAAGAAATAAGAGCTTAGACATGGCTAAAAAATACATTTTTACCGCAAAGATTGTTAAAAGATATATTTGTTGAAAGATAAAAAAGATTTGGGGTTTATGAAGCAAACTATGCATGATATAATACTTTTGAAAACATAATTTAAACCACAATAAACAATATATTTATGCAAACAAAACTTTTATGCTTTCATGCGTTAAATTTTTACCGTTTTTGATGTCAACGTATAGTATAAGAAAAAATGTTTTTCTAAAAACTAGATGCAGACTCATCGGCTGAACATATTAATAATTGCTCATTTTCGCCACGTCTAAGCTCTTAATTCTTGTTTTAGGTTCATATATTATTCATATTTATATATGGATAGTCTTGGCCGGACCCCCTCATGTTTTTCTATCATTCGTGCATAAACATAATGAACTATGTTTTTAAATCTGAAGTTTATTCATATTTTAAGACCAGTTGTACAGCAACAGTTATAACGGTTTATTTTTTGCCATTTGAGGTCATGTGACACAGTGACAACTCAATGCGATTTGCAACACAACTACTTCCTTTTCTGTATCACGACGCCATGCCTGCCGAGGTTAAGCAATAAGAGTTTTTCGCCATCACCGTTCTCGTATAGGTGCTCATAGTTGCCTAGTATTGGCCAAAACCGCCATGCAAGCAAAATGCGATAGCTCATCTTGGGGAACCGGTGGGGAAAAGCCAATGCTCTGACAATGCCTCTACAACAGATGGCGCAGTAGCGCCTGCTGGGTGGAAGAAGCAGCAGCGAAGAGCGTAGTGTAAATCTTTTTCACTTCAGCTTCCTTTACGGGCGATAGCACGAAATTCGCTTAATACAGTGGGCGGCAATGAAGTTTGGGTTCAGACTCGAGGTAGGCAAACCGATCGGTCCCATTCCTTACGTTCAGCTTCAAGCCCCAGGCTACAGGTCCATTGAAGGCGTCCTATTTATTGTTGTGATTAAGTGGCAGGTCGTATTACCAGGCGTATACGCACGAGGCTATATATTATACTAACTGTGGGTAGGGTCCAGTTTTAGTTTATCAACTTATACATCCTGTCCATGTCGGCATTTGCTATTTGCTGATCGTTTAGCATAACAGCGAAATTGGAATGCCAGCTTTGTTTGTGCGGCATGGCGAAACTAGCAATATGGACATGAGTGAGGCTGCCTGTAGCCCAACTGTTTGATGGGTTGCAATCTTATTTGATGGACCAATCCATTGTTAATGAACGTTGATTGCAAAAAAGAACGGTAAAAATGGGAATACGTTTTGAGTTTCAAATTGCATATAATTGGATACTTAGTACCATATGCGATAGATGATTTCATAAAGTGAGTGAACGTGCGCTTTGCAAACCCTTAATTTTGCTTAAATAGTTTGCGAAAGTGAAGAACACTCATTAAAGCATAAGAGTAGCTCTAAACTAGGATATAACAGATTTTTTTACTGTAGGTGCCAAGTATACCAATGTAAAAGTAGAATTCAAGATGTGCGTTGGCATAAACAGTTTCTGCCGCTCCTGCTTTGCCTTTAGAGTGTATAAAGTACAGTTGCATGAATATAAACATTGCTAATGAACCCGCGGGAATAGATGACCTATATAAACAATATAGTATAAAAGTAGCACTGATTGAATTAACCACGAATATTTTGCAGCGTATCAGTTCATTTGTTTGCGAAGTCGACAAAAAAACGTAAGAGTTTTTCGACGCTAGTTATCCCAAAAGAGAACGTCTAATCAGCAAAATAGCTAGTGTGAAATATTTCTGTTGAGTAAATGCAACTATATAAAGTCATAGAAAGGAGTGAGAACAATCAAGATCATATCTGATATTCTTTCTTGTTCTTATGATTTTTATGTAATAGGTTATAGAAAAGAGCAAGGAGCAGCTGGCCAAGTGCATCGATGTAACGAAACAACTTTTGATCGAGAAATCTGCCATGGAAAAAAAACAGTGTCGGCAAAAATGCATGCAGAACCGACTTCGACTGGGTCAGTTTGTCACTCAAAGGCAGGGAGCAAGTTTCGTCGAAAATTGGGTAAGTTTAATTCTCAAGACTATTCTAAACTGGCAGATAACTAGAAAGCGTACTAATAATTGTCGAACGGCATACCGCAATAAAATAGCGCACGTACCCCATCTAATGTGTAACTCTTCCCTAGATTTCGAGTATGCCTGTAGTTAGAATATAGGTATAGTCATTATAAGTCACACGAGGCGACCTAGAATTTTGACACATTGTCGAGTTTGATCCAGGATAACTCCGCGTCCGAGTTAGATATTTGCATGTGTTTTTCTTAAGCAAAAAGTTGTTTCCCTTTGATATCTAATGATGGCACTTGTGACGACACTGTCACTAGAGAAACGTTAATTGCTATGGGAGGGAGGCGCTTAGGCTAGAACTTGGGCTCCCTTGTTTGTGGCTGTGATTATCCTGCAATTCGGCTTGGTATGCTACGAATGCATTTCCGCATCTATCTTCGTCATTTCCAAATTTTTTAATTTTGAAATGTTAAGGATCTCCTGCCGGGCCCTGACTAGCGTTCTGACATGATACCACACGTTTTCGATCGAATTGAAGTCGAGTAAATTTCCAAGCCGTGGGAAATCCTCAATGACATTAGCGATAAACCTTTAGAGGCACACTTTGCTGTACGACGTGATAACTTGTCACGCATAAACACGTAATTTCCATATGGAAATAATTATCGTACCTGCGGCAGAATTTTCGTCTGAATTAACTGATTATAGCCTTGTTTTTTAAATTCCCGTTAATAAAATTTAAGGCTTGTGCACTGTGGATGGAAATCACGGTCCATGCCATTAGGAATTCATGGTATTTTCCGCGGAACGCCTGCATACGTGTCATATACCCAAAATCTGGAAATGGAACAATCTGAGGGACGGACTCTTTTTTTCAGTCTTTAATTGTTTAACTTTTGAATTGTTTAGTTTACCTGAAACGCGCTTATTAGTGAAAAGCTTAGCAGAGAGCTTTTAGACGGTTTACGGAAACACTAAATTCTAAGCTATGTCGGAGGATTCTTGCGGACACGGTGACTCCATATTTTGTCACTCTTTGACGCAGCTAAGAAGCCCTACAAATATTTGTCTTTGTAGCGTAGTTAGAACGATTCGATTTCCTCGCTCCGTTGAGCATTGTTTTAGATTTTTGTTTCCTATTTTTCTTGTTGACAGAGTTTTACATTCTTAACTGTACACTTAAGTATTCTGACATCATCGATTTTTCCTCACAGTCCCTTCTATGAATCGAGCTGTTTCAGTCCGCTGCTCCTCCATGAGTCCTTTTCATAATCTCATTGCGAGCTCATGTGTAGTGTCATAAAAGCACGAAGATCATTGAAATTCACTTGAAAATAATCTGTCGTCGTAACAATGTTTTTGTCATTGAATAGATGAAAGTAACGATAATTTTTATGCTACAATTCGAATCCTTTATCTTTCCAGAGATGGAAGGAAACAAAATTGGTGAAATACCTGAGCTGTATGTGATAGCCCGAATGTTTCTAATGTTGTGATGAACAGCCATCTTAACCACACGTTTCAATAGGTGTCTTCTTTTACAGCAATTCAAATGCCAAGTTAGTGATCGTGTTGTCATATATGACAAACAATTAGAATAAGGACAAGGTAGCTTTCACATTAAAGAAAGTTCATGCAGATATTTAATTTGAGCAACTTTGACGAAGTCTGTAATTTTTAGGCGGCCTTATTCGATCGACCGATGACTATATATAACCTCCAACGTCTGGTTGCTTACGTTGCATTAAGAGAAGCAAATTGATGCCAATTTAAAACGGGTTTTGTTGTTTTTGCCCTTTACAGGTTGATGGCCACGCGTTCACAGAGTTGCTAAAGAAGCAGGAGCAGGTAGCGTCGGAGCGCGAAGAGATCGAGCGACAACGCAAGCTATTGCAAAAACGGAAACCAATAGGATCAACGCAGGCTGGCAAAGGCCAAGGGGCAAAAGGTGCCACTGGCCAGAATCAAACGACTGGCGGCCTCGTAACGGGGTCTGGTGCTCAAGGCGCACCAAACGGCGGTGGTGAATTTGTTAAACCTGACTCGCCAAAAGACACGGCGCGGTTGACATGGTACGAATACTACGAACAGGAAGAGATTCTAAAGCTTCGAGGCCAAACGCTCAAGAAGGAAGATACCGACCTCCAGCTCGAGTTGGAAAAACTCGAACGGGAACGAAATCTGCATATACGAGAGTTGAAGCGAATCCACAATGAAGATGCGTCTCGATTCAATAACCATCCCGTTCTAAACGAACGATACCTATTATTGATACTGCTTGGAAAGGGTGGCTTCAGTGAAGTACACAAAGCATTCGATCTGAAAGAGCAGCGATATGTTGCGTGTAAAATTCACCAACTAAACAAAGATTGGAAAGATGATAAGAAAGCCAATTACATCAAGCACGCATTACGTGAGTACAACATTCATAAAGCGCTAGATCATCCGCGGGTGGTTCGACTCTACGATGTGTTCGAAATCGATCCAAACAGCTTTTGTACGGTTCTTGAGTACTGTGACGGCCACGACCTAGACTTCTATCTCAAGCAACACAAGAGTATTCCGGAACGCGAGGCAAGATGTATAGTTATGCAGGTATGTAGATGTACGATTCTGTGGAGACATTGCGACAGGAAGAAAAATGAACACAAATAAGTAAGACCGTATATTATTATGTGACAATTCGATATGAAAACCTACTATGTTAGTAATTCTTCTTTTTTTTTTTTACCAGAGCATTAACTAAGTGAAGTGGAACGAGATGGTATATTTTGTGTAGTCTCATGTGGCAGTCTACTAAAGAAACCTTTGAAATTGCAATGCTCATATCTTTCATCTAAAAGAACTGGTACGATATAAAAAGCCATCATACAGAGACAAGCCATCACACGAAGATCTCTAGGTATATCGCGTCTAGTATCAAACAAATCTCTCTGTTTTCGATTGCCGTTTGATTGCTTACAGGTGGTGCATGCCTTAAAATACTTGAACGAGATAAAACCTCCCATAATACATTACGACCTAAAACCCGGCAATATATTGCTGGGTAGCGGATGTCTGTCGGGCGAAATCAAGATCACGGACTTTGGCTTGAGTAAAATCATGGACGATGATAATTACTCTCCGGAGTACGGTATGGACCTCACGTCGCAGGGCGCAGGTAGGTGGCAAAAGTAGCATTTCTCTTGCGAAAAAATCGACGCATGCTTCATGTGTAAAACTTCCTTGTGTGTATCATCGGCCTGGTCTGTTATAGCTGATTTTCTTTACAACAAACATTAGCCTGTATAATATTAGGACCTGACAAGCGAATCTGGCGGACTTTGAAATTTAATAAATTCTGAACTACGCAGTACTAACAAACGAAATTTGGTCGGTAAGTATATTAGCATTCTACACTTATCAGTGAAAAGCGGTTGAATTTGCTCTGGGAGAAATAATTTTAAAAAGAAAAACATTCTTTTACACTCGAAAATCAACGCTCCGTCATCAAGTTCACATTTCCCTAAGGCCACGGCCTGCGAAAATTCATCGAAGATTAATGAAGGTATAAGCAGTAAGGAAGCCCTAAGCGTAACCACAATGCGTTGCTAGAAAAAGACAAGGACCTATTACTGCAATTAAGGAGGCATTTCACGAAAACAGAACTTGGACCCTAAGAACTCTGTCGGCGAAGACCAGCATTTCACATGTAATGTACCGACCTATAACTCAAATACCGAAAGTGCGGAAAACAGATAAAAAAGTGGGTCCCCCTAAATTGACCTCAGGCCTGTAAGAAAGAGTCGGTTTTCTGATGTATTCCACGTACGTGAAGCTTCAATAACAATGAGTTCAATCCCTACTGTCAGCTGGAGAGAGACCAGATGAGAGAATAGTGTCGTCCTAGAAAGAAATCGAGTATCGATGTCGAGTAGGCTCGGACATAGAACAATGGTAGTAATTCCAGTGGACATCAGGGGTGCTGTAAGCTAAATTTATTTGTTACTATGAGATACTCACCGAAAATGAAACAATGAGTGCAGCCTCCTATTTCAAGTTGTGTAAGACACTCATTGACTGTTGGCACGACAAACGAAAATACGTACTCTGATTACTTGATAACAATGCCAGACCTCATCACTATGCCTCAATTACTTTATGCATTGAGTAAAGGAATTTCTAGCGTTAGTTTCGACTCGCTTATTTTGCCGATTGTGATCCGTGCGAATACGGGGTTCTTCATTCCCCGGAGTAACTAGTGGCCAAGCATATTCCATCATTGATCTATTTTAAGAAGCCATAGATAGAGAAATTACATATGGCCATGCAAATGGTAAGTACATGGCTGTCTAAAAGCCCTCAGAGCGCTATTACAAATGTATAAAAGATGAAGAATATCTCTAACATATATTAAAGACCATAATTTTGGCCCAACTGGTTCAAAGGTTATTCAATTTCAAAGGTTGCCGGATGCGTTTGTAAGAGTTGGAAAATTTTAGCCTCTATAATTATTTTTATTAATGATAGTATTCATTCCGTTGGACAAAAACGAAGTTCCGATCTAATAAGGTATTCTATAAGAAAGGCTGATAACAATTCATCCTGTTAATACAACACAAAGTGCTTTTGAAGTAGCCTCTATTGTATTTAGATACTCAGCCAGACAAGCAATGTTTCAGGTACATATTGGTACCTACCACCTGAGTGTTTCATCGTCGGTAGAAATCCGCCGAAAATCAGTTCAAAAGTAGACGTCTGGTCAGTGGGAGTCATCTTCTATCAGTGTCTATATGGAAAGAAGCCTTTTGGGCATAACCAGAGTCAGGCGACCATTCTTGAAGAAAATACTATCTTAAAGGCAACAGAAGTGGATTTTCCCGCCAAACCCGCCGTATCGCCAGAGGCTAAACAGTTTATTAAAAAGTGAGTAACTTCTAAAGCATATAATATATGTAATGATACTCTTACAACGATAGGAACGTTCAATTTTTTATTAATTTTACTTCATACGAACGCTGTCGATTAAAAAAAAAACACAAAAATAAATCAAGCATAAAACAGGTACTTCTGTAAGAAATTCAGTTTTTTGGGTTTTTCTCGGTAATTCTGGATCACGCATTATTGATAATTGAGGAAATGTCTTGAATGGTCAATTCCATTCATAACAGATAATATAGTACCTATCATTCATTGGATTGGCAAGTGTGGACAGTTTGGAAAATCACTTTAAAGGCAACTTTGACTTTACCAGTACATATATGTGTATCCTTTTTCGTCCAAAACTAAGAGCTATAGTAACAAATACTGAGAAAATACTCTAGCAAAAAAGCTGAGCCCATTTTCTATGCATAGGCATGATTTGTCCAAGAACCCACTCAGTTTAAATCCTTTGAAACAATTCGTTGTCTATTTATCAGGTGTCTGCAATACCGGAAAGAGGACCGTATTGATGTGATAGCTTTGGCTAACGAGGAGTACCTCAAGCCAACGAAACATGGAGGCCGGGCCTCCTCTTCTGCAGTGCCCACAACACCTACGTAGCTACCGCCATACGCGCCGTTGCGTTGTACCAACATTTAACAACAACTCGA